CAAACATTCCAAAAAGTGACAAAACACAAATCGAAAACATTCGAAGACCTCCTATTTCCCTTCTCAAATCGTATATTTCATCAAAATCCTGGATTTAACTTTGAGTTCCTTGCAGTTCTAATAGCAGTGTTTACAAACAAACAACAATTCAATTATCAAAAATTCAAACACGCATAATTTCCAAAAAAAGCACTAATCTTTACACATTATATAAGCAGAAAATTAACAACAAATTTCTCGGTCACCACTTTCTCTACGATCGAGAAACGAATCAGGAGACCCTCATGGTTTTTCTTACAAATACAACAATTCTATAATAATAAATAAAAGTGAACAAATTCTTGGAACACCATTATTATTCAGCCCACATCCATCTCAGTATATACCACTACCAAGTACCAGCTGCTTCTCCACATCCCTCCTCCCCCCCGAAAGTCGGCCAAAGCAAACCCACCACAAGGCAATATCCATAGCGTCAATCCAACGATCACATCATCATTCCTTACCTCGTTTACTCCTCTATGCACTTCACTTAGATCCGCATTCCAATTACCAGAGGTATTGATATCAGTCGGCAACTTATATGGATTAAAGAGGGGCAGACCCGGAATGGATGTTGAAATCGCATCAAATGCCAGTGGTTGGGTCTTCCGACGATGGCAGGACATTAGGCGTGTCCATGAAACTTTCGATGGTACCATCCGAGTAGAATTTGAGAAAAAGAAAGAGGCGAAGAGCACTTCTTTGATTGTGTTGGAAGGCATGGCAGTGTTCAAATGTGGAAGACAAAATGCCTGACACTTTTTTGATGTAAAGTTACCTCGGACGGAGGAGGAATCACCATTATTCGTGGGGTGCTCCGCGACAGTCGCGGCTAGGCAGTGTTCTGGTGAAAATTCGTGCAGCTGGAGGGATGGTTGGGACAAATTGTGAACTTGGTTGGGGTCGAATGAGCATGGGCCATCGTCCATCGACCGGTGTTGGTCCAACGTCATGGGTATGACCGGAAGTTGAGATTCCGACAGAATGAAACTCTTCAGGCAACGATTTTTTAGCTGTGATTTCTTCCAATTTTCTGGGTGTTATTGCTTGTTGTTGGGTTGTAATGGAAGAAGACGTTAAGCGCTTTCCACCGGTACCTATATCCGGTGGTTTGGCTGGTCGATCGTTGCCCGAAAAAGAGGCCATAAGTGGCTGCTAGAATGGGCGATGTGGGTAGAGAGAAAAAGAGGCGAGGCAGTGAGCTTTTGGAGTTTTGCAGATTTGATTTTAGTTTAGGGCGTAATTTATACGAGATTCACGCGATGTTTAATTAATTTAGGGTATTAATCTAATTGGGTCAATTTTTAGAGTATTAGGCCTAATTTTCCCTTAAAAATTGTAAATTTTTTTGGATCGCGGTGAAGGGGCCTTGGGCTCTTGAACTTTTTGATTAAAATTATTTATTTAATCATTTTCAAATTTATTTAATGGGTCAAACTAGCCAGTATTACCTTTTCAAACAACCCATTAGAAATTGTAAATTTTTTTTGGATGGAGACAGTTATATTTTCTGGCTATATAAACACATATTTGCCTTTGGAAAAATTACATAAAAAAACGAAATTATCATTTTCATATTCTCTAATTTTTCACATTTGAGTTATATATATATATACAGAAATGATCTAATGAGCACCGGTGCTCATCTTA